ATAGAAACACATAGAAATCAGTCTTAATTTAATCATGTGACTAGATGCTATAGAGTATTGACATCTGCGTCGTACTCACTGGGTTCTGTCGGAGTCGGTTTCGGGTTCTTCAGTCGGAGCTGCAGGACGGCCGATCTCTTGGACGTCGTCTTCTCTTTGAACTCCCTCCATTTCTGTCTCTCTTTCTCCCTCACATCATCTCGCAGGTTGCTGCTGGCGGCGAGCCACGCCACCCTGTCGAGACTCCGCCTCCTGTCGGGCGTCGTTGCCGAGGAGACGCAGGGTCCGCGGGCGCCTCTGGGAAGAGATTTATCCGCAGAGGGTTTGTTTCTGGCTCTGGGCGGAGACACAAAGTCGTCTTCTGACGTCTGATCTGAACCTGAGAGAGAGTCAACAGCGTTTCCTCCGTCGCTCTGAAGGAATTAAAGGAACATGTTGTCATTTAGTTTCTCGTTATAAACAGAAAAGGATTGTTTAGATCAAATATTTCACATTTCTTTCACTTAAAATCATCTTAAATGTTGTATTTCCTGTGACTTAACATAAATATCCTGATAAATGTTATTACACTTTTTCCTCACACTGACTTTATTATCAGACCTCCGCGCTGTAACAGCAGCTTTAACCATAGAAAACACCCACTGAGAACTCACGACCTTTGACCTTTACCTTCCCCTCAGCGGCGTCTTCGCCCCTCCTCCACGCTCTCCCAGCATGCTCCTCGCCTCGCAGCGCCGCCAGAGAGTCCGGCGATCGCACAGAGATGCTTTTGGCCGGCAGGAACGAACCGTCGCAAACTGAGGAAATATCAATACAATCGCTCAGTGTCGACCATCACCTGATCAATGATTCTGATTGTGTGAGCGAAGCTTACCGTCGCTTTTCTTCTTCTGTGGCGGAGACGGAGGCTGTGAGGTCACCTCAGACTGCAGCAGTCGGTCTGACGCTCTCTTAGGGCGCCATCTGGTGGATACAACAGGGAACAGAAAGCTCAGTTTAACCGTTTGTGGGTGATTTTAATACAATAATAGATAATAAATAATAAGTAAGTGTCGCTACGAGGAGATTTTTCACTTCTTTTCTCCTTAATTTGACTGAATCTAACTTTATTTAGACCCATTTTCTTGCTCATGTAATGTTCCACGGTACTTTATTTTGGGTATCTGTCACTTTTTTAATAATAAAGAAGCTCTTTATTCATTTCTTATTTCTCATGCAAAGTTGTCTTCCAGACAGTGATGGACTGATATCGATATTTAGAATAATTACACCACATTTTCTATCATTTTCAGTATATTTCATATTCTATTGATCAATAACAGTAACAGTGGAGATAAACTGTAGTCAGTGTGTTTGCTGTGGAAGGACGTTAGCGCCCTCTGCTGGGGGAGGTGATAAAGTCAGGTCACTGGATAATGTGAGCATGTATATTAGATTGGAATAATGGAAATATAAGTTTTCTGTATAATAATATATAAACTGTGTTCTTTCTGATGTCTTTGAGCCTTCATCCAGCCGTAAGTAGACAGCGCCCCCTGCTGTTTAAATGGGAACAGCAACGATAAGAAGTTCAAGACTTTAGTTAACTAGACAGAATAAATTATTTCTAATGTGATTTATATTATCACAGCTAACAGCTCACTCATCACACTTTGCTTTCTTTCAATGTTCACCAGGAAGTCTGTGCGTCTCTCCTGCCTTCGCTGGGACAAACTGACGCAGACATAAATTAAGAAGTTAATGTTTAATGTGCTGAATTTACAAAAAGGTTAAAATGCTGAAGAATCTGTCGCAGGCAATGTTTGTAAACTTACTGCTGTTAATACCGGGTCCCGTTAATACCAGGTCTAGACCGGGACCCGAGAGCCTCGAGCGGCGGTGAGTCAGAACCAGAAACCTTCCGTGAACTCACCCGTTTGAGAAACAGGCCGAGGACGACTCTGCTCTCTGCCCCGGCTGTGGTTGGCGGCTCCAGCCTCCTGCTGCTCTGTGATTGGCTGTGGACGGCCCTCCGTTCGGGCTGTTGAGTCCCAGCAGCGTTTTGACCACGTCCCTGAAGAGAGGCTCGCTTAGAATGGAAGTCAAAGAAATCAGGTTCAGACTCATGTTGTAATGAAGACCGCAGCCTGTAGGGGGCGCCTTACAAACCTCTGTCTGTTTGCTGAGGAGCCAAATGAGCTCCCAGCATGCATCCTGTCGGCGCTGCCTCTGCTGGACTGACCCCCATAGCTCTGTTGAAACAAAACAAGACTCAACAGAGCGGTAATACCACCTTAAAGAAGATAGACCACCTTAAACAGGTTGACACTGTCAGGACACTTTAAATGAATGAACAGATAAAACATTCCACCTTTAGAAACGCTAACAGAAGAGTAATACCACCTTAAGTTCTGGGGCGGCGCTCTGGAGGCGGGACAGGGGCGACTGCATGTGCATGTGGGCGGAGTCAGAACCTGCGGGCTGTTTCTTTTTGGGGATTTTAAACGGAGACGCCATGCTGGTGACAAAAAGAGCAAACCAAGTCAAACCAAAGCTCGAACAACAAACACTGTACAAAAGTACAGCAGCTGTCCCACCTGGCTGCTGTCTGAACGTCACTCCACATACCAAACTCCAGTACAAACACAGAGGCTTTTACACAACAAATGGATGAACAGCAAAGTCAGAGTTTGATGTAAATAACAGCAGCTTCAGCAGGTGACATTTCAGAGGAATTAAATAATGTTTTATTACACCTTTTAAACACATAAATCTACAGAAGAAGCCGTTGAGATGAACTGTTGAAATGGTGGATTTAATTGAATTAAACTGATCATGCTACATTTGTTAAGACTTGTATTTACATAGGAAACTGTTCACTACAAGTAGAGCAGAACTCCATAACAAAAACTTAGAATAACAAATAAAAATATATCAATCTGTTTTCTGTCCTCAAAATAAAGCTCATTGTTTAAATCAGACATTTTGTAAATGATGTTCTGAATGGAAAACAGTTTAAGTGATTAGCTCAAGGGCTCAGGGATTGAACCTTATTGTAGCTATTAAACCAGCGAGTCACTTAACTGGGAACATATGAAACTACTGGTTTATGTGGAGATGTTGTCAACCAACCAAACTCAACTCAAAAACATGAGGTTTTTCAGTGCACTGTTGAACCTGATATTTCAGAACTATCAGCAGTTTTTATTTAATTCACGTAAACTAGGTTGAATATGAGTGTTTTTCTCTTCACTTCACTCACTGGAATATGTCAGCTGGGAGTGAGCAACCGTGGACAAACAGATATTTCTGCAGTGTAATTTAAAGTTGGTGTGAGCCGAATTTACTACAACACTCTACTAATTAATAAAAACTAAGGACTTACATCCTCCCGGTTGTTGTGTTTGTTATTTAAGCAGTGACAGTTTAAAGTGCAGTAATTCTTAAGGAACATCGCGCTGAAGGTGCGCTGCTCGCAGTTTGAGCTAAAGCACACGGACTCCTATGATCTGTCAGGTTCTCTACAGGTTCTACGGGTTCTACGGGTTCTACAGAATGAGCTCTTTGTGCAGCTGGTAGCAGATTTAAATGTACGAACCTAAAGTCAGCCGGTGGAGCCAGCTAACAGGCTAACACAGCTGCTAGCCGCCGGTTAGCCGGTCGGAGGAGGCGCTTCCGGTTGGTAAAAAGTACAAAAAGAAATTAAAAGCACATTTTTATCCGCTGGTTTCCTCAACAACACAAAAACAACAACAACAACAACAACAACAACAACAACAGCAGCGACATCATGACAACGCCGCTGCTCTTCTTCTTCTACTGTTCGTTTACAGGCGGATGAACATCAACGTTGGCGGAGCGCACCGCCACCTAGCGGACAACAGGCAGTACTTTACATTACATATAACAACTTCTGAATATTTTTCATTACTTTAATTAATGCGTTAATAACTACATTTATATTTCAAAACTTTAATACTTTTATTTTCAATATTTCTGTTTTCCACTATGAGCAAGTAACTTATTTGGTTTATTTGAAGGATCTTTCTTTCTATAGATATATAGATATATTTCTTTTGCTGATATCTAATTTCTTTTGTTTTTATTTACACATATGGTGTTGGGGTAATCCAAAAGAGATGGAAAGTAATCAAGTTACTTTAATATTGTGATTTTCTATATAAAAATACAAAGACATTTGTAAAGGTTTTGGCATCCATTGTTAAATAAAGGTACAATATGACTGAGTTAAAAGGTAGTTTTTATTTCATCTGGACATTGACAAATGTATTTAAATATATATAATATAGACACACAGTAAGAATATATAACACAATATAGTTTACATTGTATGTAACAAAAAACAACTTCTGAATATATTTCCTTACTTTTATTAATGTAGTAATTTCAAACTTGAAAAGTTTCTTTTCTGTTTTCCATTATAAGCATTGTTTGCAGGCTTCGGGAGTAATGGATTACATGTAACTGAGTAATCAGGATACAAAATAAAGGTAACTATAATCCATTACAGTACAAAAAGACAATCATATTACAGTTACATTGAGTAGAGATTAATTTGCAGGATGATAATTTAATACATCAGTTTTTATTTCTATAGATACAGGGCAGAGGTCACATTTTAATGTAAAAATCTTACGTTTTTTCTTTAAGATCACATTGATCTGTTTTAATTTACATATGTTACTGATGTTGAGGTAATCCTAAAGTAACGGAAAGTAATCAAGTTACTTAAAAATTGTGATTTCAATATTATTTTTTGGCATAAATTGTTAAATATAGGTACAATATGACTAAAGATGTACTCTTAAATAGTTAAAAAAAAACTTCTGGACATTAAATGCCAGACAAAACATATACAAATATATTAAAATACTTAATACAAATGCACAGTAAGAATATAAATATTTTTTAACATAATAATCCCTATAAATGTGAACATTAAACACATTACAATGTTTTTATAGTCTCTGACAGGAAGTGCCTGACAGCTGATTAAATGACTGACTGACAGCAACCTGGCATAATGTGACAAAAATGCGTGGATGTTAATATTCCACCAAACTCCCTTTAAGAAATATCACATTTTAACAATTCCTAACGTGTTCGTAACAACACGTAACTCTAGAAACACGAGGAGAACTCTCAGGTCAGAATAAGGGTTTTATCATTATATTTTAATATTCTTGTGTTTGAATTAGTTTATTTTGGGGGTCCATGGTCACATGTTTTTAATCTGCTTAAAACTAGGGCATGTATTGTTATTCGTAAAACAATTTTCCTTATCAAGCCTTTCCACTGCGTAATCTGGTGTGGGTCAGTATAGAAGCCAGGGCAGTTCTGGACATCCTTTTTCCAGCCCATGTCTCCAGCTCCTCCTTGGCCAATTTTAGGTGTTTAGACTAGACATATAAGCTTCTGGTTACAACAATATAAGCATGGGGGAGCACGGGTGAAAAGCCTTCTCCAACTCAGTTACAGCTTCTTTATCTTAAAAATTTGCAATCTGTGTGTTTGTGTGTGTTTGCAGCGTCAGGCTGTCAGAATCACAGAGGAGGCTTGTGCTTTCTCTTGGCTCAGCTCTGAAGCTCCAACCTCCCATACTGAAGAAGAGCTGGACCTGAGCTACAATCATACCAGGAGACTCAGGAGTGAAGCCTGCCTTGTCTCTGCACTGGAGGATTCACAGTGGAGACTGGACACTCTCAGGATAGGAAGAAGACATCATGTGGACACTTGGACATAACAAAGAAAGAGCTGGTCTTCTGATCTGTTATGTCGCTCGTACGTCTCTTTCAAAGACGACCCTGATGGAGCCGTGGTTTTGAACAACGGTTGAGGAAAAATGTGAGTGTGTTTTTTCGTTTGAAAATAAAACCTGTTTTTTTCATGGCAAAAAAATATGTTTTTTGACCTTGAATTCGGCGACCCTCACCAAGGAGCTTATTTTAAAAATAATAAAAATGGTGCTTGCTCGCCACTAGCACGTTAATATAATAACAATAAATTAACTTTTATGTCGTCTCCTCGTAGATTCCCTGCGACTCACACTGGATCCAAACACAAGCGCACAATTTCTCCAAACTGTCTGAAAAAACAATAAAAAGGTGACGGATCTGAGGAGGAGCACCCGTATCCCAGACCAACCCGGAACCGGTTTGACTACTGGCCTCAGGTGCTGTGCGAGAAACGGTTACTGGTCGGCTGTTACGGGAAGGTGGATGGAGCGGGAAAGGTGTTTACGTCGCGGTGAGTTTTTACAGAAGGAATCGGACGGAAGGGAGCACAGCGACGGCTCCAAGTTCGGAGGCAACAATCAGTCCTTGGGTCTGACCTGACCGACGGGGGATTACAACGCTGGCAACAATAACAGTGGACGCTCATCTCCTCCTCCTCCTCCTCCTCCTCTTGCTTCTAACAGAGTAGCAGTGTAATGTGGAACTGTCTGCTGGTGCTCTGTTCCTTCTAAAACAGTCTCCTCTGACATATACTGATTCCACCTCACACCTTCAACACCACAGTTCACTGGAACCGCTCATTTTATGCCTGGGTTTGGGTACGGGTGAAGTTTTCAACTCCTTTGCATTTTCTTGTGCCACTGTAGAGCCCTCCTCGTCTTCTCTGTCCTCCTGCCTGTGATAGAACATCTCTGTACGCCATCTTGAAGGACGTCAAAATGTAAGCACTTCTGAATTCAAGTTATAACACTGTACTTTATGGCTGATATTGATAGTATACACTGTTCTTTTATGGATGATATTGATCCAGTAAACCGTAAATCCTTTATGGAATTAAAATAATCAGTATACACTGTATCTGTATGGATTATTGATCAGTATACACTCGTTAGTTTATGGATGATATTCGATCAGTATAACACGTATCTTTTTGGATTATTTGATCAGTAATACAATGTATCTTTTATGGATGAATTTAATTGATCAGTCATACACTTATCTTGAGGGATGAATATTGGATCAGTATAGGCATGTATCTTTATGGATGATCATTGAATCCTGTATTTGAACAAGTCAGACTGTGGACATATGAACGGCCTTTAGCTCA